CACACAATGAAAGGGGTGATGGGTAACATTTAGCCTGAGCTGTACAGCCCACTGATGTGCACCAACTTCAGATGAGGCCTAGATTATTCACAGAATGAGCATGATTCAGAATGAGGTCTCGATTGAAGCAAGCTGGCCAGACTCAATTCTAGGAGGAGTCATGGCTAATTTAAAAACAGTTCAGATGTGTTGCAGCTATTGCCTCTGTTGCTCAGTCCACTAGGAAGAGGATGACGATAAGTCTGCTAGTGCCTACTAGTCATCATAATGACTATATGGTACTTTCAGTGACTAGATGTTGCTTCCAATTTTGGAGCCGATATATCTTTGAATACTAGTTGCCAGAATCTCTGAATAGAAAGAGGTTATGGTACACAGGTCCTTCCAGTGGGACTTTCCATGAGCATCCAAGTTGGCCACTGGGAGAACAGAATGCTGGGCCAGGTTATTAGCTCTTATCCTGATGATCCAGCCTGGCTTTTCTTAATTTTTTTTGGTGGTGTCTCACTGCAGCAGAGCACACTGATGGGGCCATGTGATTCCCATTGGCACATGCTTAGCGCCATGAACTTTCAGCACTCTACTGCCAACAGGTGTAAGTAGGGCTTTTATGATCATGTGCTAATGGTATCTAAAAAATAATGGGCACTATCATGTCACTTCCTGATTACCTTTGTGTGTCCATTTTTAGGAGTGCTGTGAGTCCACTCTGGGTTTTTGTCTGCACTCTATAATAGATGGTACTGAACCTATTTTGGGGACAGATCTCAGCAGCTTGGATAGCTCCTATAAAGTGTGGACTGAAACCTGAATCAATAGCATCCTCGAAATCAGAGTCACCAGCCATCACTGCTGTTTATTGATGGGAACAGTAATGAATGTGGCAGGCTGTTTTCTGGTGGCAGTAGTCATTCGCTGGCAGATTGATATGACTCAGACCAATATGCTGGAGAGTTCAGCCTTTTAAAAAGAGTTCTAGGCTCTCGGTTATTAGGTGCTGAGAGTGCCATTCCACATCGATTTCAGTGGTACTCTTGAGTATCTTTATGATTGACATTTGGTTGATTGACAGCTCAGTGTTCTCAGTGCTTTAAATTCTGTCATCACTGTGATGATAGTTCTGAAAATATCTGCTCCTGGCTTTTTACCGACATTCATAAAGCTCTAAGAAAATGTGTTGTGGAAATAATCAGAATGTAATAATCATCCAGGAAATCAAGCATTGCCAGGGGTCTCTGAGCTGCTGTCAGCTTTTTGGGTTGCTGTTTTCCAGTCATTCTATTAGAAATCTTTCTTTCTGTATGCAAACATGGAGAGAGAAAAGCTGATTTTAAAAAGCTGAACTCCCAGCTTTTTTTTCTGCATGTATTGATCTGATCTGTTTGAACATTCAAATCCAAGGGATTATGAACATGCAATGCAAGTCATGTGATTTTCACCCTTTTGGAGGTTAAATGATGGGCTAGGTGTTGTTGGTTGTTTTGTTTTAATTCCATAAATTCCCTAATTAAGAGGACAAACATTTATTTAAATATTTTGGACTTTTGCATAGAAAATTATCTGGTCTTGCATTATTGCAACATGTACAGAAACTTCTTATAGAGATGTTCATGAAACTGGTACATGTTAATCGGCAGCAACACCAAAATTAAAGAAGGAGAGATATCAGTTCATCATATGATTACTCTCTAGGAATACGGAAATACAGTAGTTGTTTACACAGTTGTATAGGTAGATACTGTATTGATCGGTGGGCGGGGCAGTTTTCCACAAGCGGCCCTGAACCTCTGACATGGCTAACTTATATGTCAGTTAACCTTAAATTGCAGTGAATCTACTCCGGAACTAAATGGAGACCCAACCCAATTTGTGTGTTCGATTGCCAAGTGGATTAACTCTTTCATTCATCTCAGTCTTTGTCACACTCAGTCTGTGGACATGCTAGAATGAGGTGTTCAAATTTGCTGCATGACAGCAGCTCATTTTTTTTTGTTTGGTTGTGAGGGTTTTTGGCCATTCACACCAACAACATAATAACCCAACCCTCACCAGTGTTTTACACAACATTGTATTAACTGGCTTGCATTCACTTTTTGCTTTGAATGTGTTGTAACTATAGATGGGGGTACTGTATTTGTATTTGTATACGAAAATGAATATCCCCGCACAGGTGGAAATAATGAGGGTCCAGCCCAATGGGGCCAGACTGTCCACTCACAATTTTGCCACGGCCACTGGCTCTGCAGAGGCTTTCTATCGCGTCATTCTCCACAATGGATTAGCCGCTCTCCAACCTAACAGAGAGTCTTGCCATCCTACCTCCTGCCAGGACTGGGTAATTGATTGTGGACAAGGGTGCAATAGGAAACCTCCACAGAGCTGGTGGTAGCGGTGTAATTGTGAATGGACAGTCTGGCCCCATGGGGCTGGACCCTCGTTATCTCCACCTGTGTGGGGATATTCGTATACGAATAACCCCATCTCTAGTTGTAACTCTTAACATCTAATAAAGTTCAGTTCCTTCTCAGGTATAATGCAGCCAGTCCCAAATCTGTCTCAAGCCCGTCTGCTTAATTCATGCACCAGTAGGTTCCCTGTTAGGGAGGGAGAAACCAGTCTCTCTCTCTCTTGCTTACCTTTGTTTATTGCCATTCCCAGACCTAGGGAAGGAGACAGACCCCATGACAGAAATCCTCCCATTGATTGGCTAAACTGGGGTTTTCTTCATCTTGAAAGGATGAAGATACACCACCCCTGGCTTTTCACGAGGCTGGCTGGGAAGAAGCTTTACTGACTTTTTGAGAAAATGTGGAAACTATTGTTTTTGTGTGAAAGAGATGCTTGGTGCACTTTTCAGAAAGCCCTTGACCTGCTCAATACTGGTGAGCAACATTCAGAGCTGTGGCCCTCCCAACACTGAGATGATTGTTCTTCTAGCTGTGGCTGTTATTGTCTGTCCCATTCTGGTGAAGTTAGCTTCCCTCTGGTGACTTTCCATGTGGCCCAGGAGTCCCCAGATACCAGTGGCAAAGGAACAATTAACAGCCTGTCTTTAATTTCAGAGCAGCTAATACCCAGTGGTGCTGCTGATTATTTGTTCAAGTGGAAAAAGTGTACTTTTAGAAACGACTGCTACAGGCTTTTGAGCAAAAGGTTGTAGGCCTGGTGCCAGAGAAAAATGGTCAAAGCAAAAGGATTGGCCAATCGGGAAAATTATGTGAATGCATCTCTTTTGTTGGAAGCGGGATAATTTGAAGGAAATTCCTGCCCAACTACTTCAGAGGGAGTGTGAAAGGAAGGCAGAACAGTAATGCAAGGAGGGCAACTTCCAGAAGTTTGGGAGCACATGCTCTGGTATCCCTCCCCAAAGTTTTCCTTTTTTCCTTCTTCTGAATTTTTTTGTTGAAAACTGAAAAAAAGCTCACTTGCACCTTCTAGTGACTGTAGGAAAAAAATTCACATTTTTGTCTGCTTCTAAACTGCTCTCAGTTACTGCTATGATTGAAAAATCCCCCCTCTCCAGCCTAAAACATCTGAGAGGGCCCAAAACATGGCAGAATTGTCCCTAATATCCTCAGAGAAAAAAAAACCCTTTAAAATAAAACTTAAATGGGGGTGTCTAAGGGCTGTCATGTGGCCTGTGAGCTCCACTCACCTCTGCAGCAGTGCAATACTAACAAAACATTCAATATTAGAGGTACCGCCGAGCATTTTCTTGACCGTTTTGAAGTGTGTGTGTATGGCGGGTTAGGCTTCAGGCAAGGCAGTAAATATAAGAATGCAAACTGAGGATTGGGATGGCAGAAAAACAAGATACAAATAAAGAACAGTAAAATAAATTGTGACCACTACATACCCTACTTATATCGTACAAGTAGCCAGAGAGGCATATAAGCCAGTACTAGCTGAAATCAGCAAAAATGACTAAGGTGACACGGTCATAATTTGGGCACATCATGACAACCCGAGACTCAGTGGAAAAGACAGTAGTGCTAGGAAAAGTGGATAGCAGTTGGGGTGTGTGTGGGGAGGAAGACTGAGCATGGGGTGGCTTGACTCAGTGAAGGAAGCTTGAGTCGGAAGGCCTCAGCAGGACTATTCATGACATGCCCCTTTGGAGGCAAATGGCATAACTTGCAGTGGCTTCTTGCTGGCAGTTAACACATCCCAGCTTGGATTTCCAGGTATGTGCCTGCCTGCTAGCTTGGTGCACACCCAAAAATCCAAGCAGAGATTTGCTACATAACTTTTTTTACATGGCTTTTAGCCATAGGGCCCTCATAAGTCACAAGATTTGGTGACCCTGTGAGGCTGGGAGTACCTCCAAAGGCACTCCGCAGAGTGTGCTGTCCATCTCTTCCAGCGAAAAGTCCAAGGAAGACCTATCAACCATTGTGGGAGAGTTACAGGAGTTACATTTAAAGGTAGAAACATAGGAGGGAGCTGTTTCTGCGGGAGAAAGGAGGAATATAAAAGGGGAGAAGGAGGTAGAGGGGGAGGCTTGTTGGGCATAAGAGGAGAGAGTGGAAAATAAGGAGGATTTAGTGGAAATAGTACAGGAAGAGCCTTGGACAGGGGAATGGGTGGAATTCAAGGTGCCAAGAGAATATGCAGAAAGGGAATGGAAAAGACAGAAAACCACCTTACTGGGGGGAGACAGAAGAGAGAAAAAAAGGAATATAAGGCTTGGCAACAGAGGGAGGCTCAGAGAACAGAACAGCAAAGGTGCTCAGAGACTCCTGGGAGACCCTGTGGGATCAATCCTTTCCGAAGAAGGTGTGGGAGCCACAGGTGGGATGGGTTTTCTGTCCACCGCAGTGATGTTGACTGACCAAGCGCTTGATGGATCAGGCCTGACGCTCAAGTGGGGTTGTAGGGTCATAAGTTCTTCCCCCTTGTCGTTAAAAGGGGAGTTGGTGCAGTTTGAGAATGGGAAGAGTGATGATTTGTTGTTGAAACCAGAGACTGAAAGTGTTGATATAAATGAAGCAGAAGAATTGTTAGTTAATAAACCAGTTTTATTAGAAGATTTTGGCATACAAGACTCTTCTTTAAGGCGAAAGGCATCTGAGGAAGGGACATTGCACAGGATCACAGACCCGTAACAAGAAAACAGTAATATCTAGCACTCATTCACACAAACATCTGTATTTTTAAAATAGAAATTTGTTTTGATGTTTGAGAATAAATAAAAGTATACAGGCAATTCTAGTATTGATAAACTGAGTTTGCTACAAACGGAGTATTTTTCCAGGCATCTCTGCAGTTACTCCTGGGTAACATGACAAAAACATGTTTCTGCTGCCTGACCATTTTTATGGGTTTCCCCTTTCCCCAGCCTGTGTAAAGACAGTTCCCTCGGTGTTTGGAATCTGTATCAGATTTCTAAGGCTGAAGATGGAATCTACATTCTTGGATCATTGGTGAGGTGGCATGAGGAATGTCCAAATAATTCTCCAAACCTGGAAACATTTTCATTTTTCATAGTTGAAAATTTGTGGAGTCATATTTCTTGGATGGCAGCATACCACATTATTAGTCTATTTCAGAACTGTATCTTTGTTAAATATCTTGTTAATCTTCCTGAGTAGAATCTTCTTGGCAAATGCAAAATAACCTGGATAATGAGATTGGAATTTCCCAACATTCAGGGAGAGTGGAACGGCAGTAAGAGAAGGCCCATTAAATTCCACGGAGGTGCAATGCCTAAAACAGAATGAGAGTCATTTTTTTAAAAAAGTTATCATTAAAATGTGAGCCCAGTGGAACATCACAGTCTGCTGTCCTGAACATCTGTAGATTTGTCTCCGTCTCCTTCTGTGGCATTCTCAGTTTCATGCCTTACATTCTTGGGTGCCAGGTTTTGTTCTTGTGGGTGTTCGTGCGGTGTCTGGTCTCCATCAGCAGCAGCATTTAAGACCTCTTCCTTTGCACTATCAGCTTCCAGAGGGAAGCGGACTTTCGCACAGTTTTTCACCAAATCTTGCACTTCAGCAGCGAGAGCTTTCAACTTCTCTTCATATTCTGCAAATGCTTCCTGCTGGAGCTGCAGAAAGAGACATAGCAAGTTGACACCCAAGGAATGCATCTTTGTGGGATGCTCAGAATAAGCAGTTTTGGGGGAATATGTAGGACTAGCCACACCTGACAGTTTTTTTAAAAAACAAAAAGAAATTCAGTCTTAAGTGCAGGAAGGTGGGTGAGCCTCATCAGAACCACAACATGTGATTAGGGGAGAGGCAACCTTTAACTTCTCAGCAATAATCTTGATTGAAAAGAAGGGGGGGGACACCCTACCTTCCTGCTGCAATTAGCAGTAGGAAAAAATCCACCACCCTTGCCACTGGGCAGTTCCCCCACAACTAACTGCACTGGGAGAGAATTTTGTTAGGCTTATAGCAAGAGATGGAAGGATTAAACCTACTCTCTCCATGCTTTATGGGGTGTGATATAAATTGTCTCCTCTGCATAAGAATACATTTTTTAAAATGCCAGGTGTGGCTGCAAGACACGCAATGAGTATAACACGTAGTTATATATCTTAATGTCATAAACTGATCTGAAACTGAGGAAAAAAAGGCTAGAATTTTAAAGTGCCAAACCTGACCAGAAGTTAGTAGTTCTGCTGAACCTAATTTCTTGCTCAAGAAACCAATGCCCCTTTGCAAGGAGGGGAATGGGTGTGCCAGTTCTCCCACACAAGGGGCACCTACCTCTTTTCTCCCTCTGTGGCTAATGAAAGCTTTAGGATGGAGGAGGGGTATTATTTGTATAATGGAACCCTAGGTGGCAAAGGGTTGATTTGCTTTTATCACAGCCCCAATCCACACTGTACTGTGTTCCTCAGCACTTTGGGGACAAGTTTTGTTGCCCTCGGATTAACTCGAATCACTTCTCCAATTCTGCCTTTGCTTTTTCCTGGTGGCACAAAACAAGCAGGATGACCTGACTGGTGTCAAAGCACACATAAAGAAAAATGCATATTGCTATACTTAATAACAGGATTTCTGCCCTGAACATTTGTTGAACTTTTCTTGCATCCGCAATATCAGCACTGCATCTTGCTGTCTTCACAGTGCGAGGCTGAAAGTAGGATCAACACAGCCAAAGCAGGAGGGAAAAAATACTTTCTGGGTTTTGGGGTTTTTTTTGCACCACTGTCACCAATCATTGGTGCGTTTTTGTTGCTCCGATTTTGCTCTGGTGCAGGAGCTGCTTGTGTGGGTTCTAGTTCTGCATTGTTCTGTGCTGATCTGCCTACTTTATGGGTGTATGTCATTTGATAAAGATTCCTTATGGGTGTTTTTTTGATGGTCAGTCTCCATCCCAAAAACCAGAACAACCAGAGACAACCCCAATGCATCGACAAGCTCAGAGGTAAGTACTTCAGCAGTCAAACTTACAAATTGAGTTGGACCAATCACCAGTGGGCAGAATCATGTGCTGTGACAAGCAGATGTCTTTCCCAGCTAGAGGAAGCACCCCTTCTCAAAACATTCTACATGCACCGCCTAGTTTGACTCTTTAAATACAGGGAAGTTATGAATGTGATGTGTGTGGTGTGGATTCTGCTTATCCACAGAGTACTACCTTGGGGCTTAGGGTTAGACTGAATAATCTTTTAGTCCATTATAGCATTTTGATAGTCATCTTGCATTATGAGCCACTATATAAACATGAAGGCATTGGGTGTGAATTTGTCATAAAGGTACTGTGTTTCTTCAAAAATAAGATGGGGTCTTATATTTTTGCTCCAAAAATGCATTAGGGCTAAATTTCCAGGGTTTGTTTTATTTTTTCTTCATGTACAACAATCTACATTTATTCAAATACAGTCATATCATCTTCTTCTGGTTGCTGCACAACGGTGGAGGGTGCGGTTTCACTTAACTAGGGCTTTATTTTTGGAGTAGGGCTTATATTACAAGCATCCTGAAAAATCATACTAGGGCTGCAAAACTTTTAAGATACCAAGATTTATTTTAAAAGGATGGTGAATTAAGGTCTAAAGAAGAGCTAGAGTCACAGAATATCTATATAGACTGGTGGTCCAGAGCACAGCTGGAATCTAGATATACAAAAGACGAAATCGAAGGTTTCTACTCAGAACAAACGATGTTTGATAAGCTTTTATTAGGTTCAAAAGATAAAATAGTTAAGAAAATGTATAACTATCTGTTAGAAATTAAAATGCAAGATGAAATGGTTAAAGAATGTATGATTAAGTGGGCACAAAACATAGGGCATAATATTGATATTGATCAATGGTTGAAAATATGGCAAAATAATATAAAGCTTACAAGATCAGTAAATTTTAAAGAGAATATATACAAGATGTTCTACAGGTGGTATATGACCCCAGAGAAATTGTCGAAGATGTACACAGATGTATTGAATATGTGTTGTAAATGTGAAGCACATGTGGGAAGCTATTATCATATGTGGTGGTCATGTAGAGTAGCGAAACAGTATTGGAAAAGAGTACATGCTGTGTTGCAACAAATACTGCTTTGTAAGGTGCCATTAACCCCAGAACTATTCTTATTATGATACCTGACAACATAGATAAGTCAAAAGAACATATAGTTATATATATGGTCACTGCAGCAAGAATCCTCTATGCCAAAAATTGGAAAAGTCCGACGATACCGAAACAAGAAGATCTTATCAACAAGATACGGGAAATAGCGGAAATGGACATTTTATCAGAAGTAATGAAGGACTGTCCTTTACAAAAGGCAACAGAAAGATGGGACTTATTCTACAAGTGGACTGAATCAGCAGGCAATGAATGAATAGCATATATTGAAATGAGAACTTAAACCTAGAAGGCAGAAAAGAGTAAATAGAGTAACTTGGAATCTTGATATGGCAATAGGTATAGAATGGATGTTAGTATGTGATTGTTTCTCCTTTTCCCCATTAACCTCAACTCCCCTTTTCCTTTCTGTCACCCCTCTTGTTAAAAAATAAAAATAAAATAAAAAAATCATACTAGGGCTTATTTTCAGGGAAACAGGGTACCTCATTTTCTTTTTCTTTGATCTTTTCCAGAGAGGCTGTCTGTTTTGCTTCCAGTAGTTGCTGATACCTGGTCTGCTTTTCATTCATCTTGAAGGGGAGAAATGAGATGTATGTTAAAAAACATCTTCAATAAAATTATATAAATCCAACATAATAAATACCTTACTCAACAACCCAATTTGCCTGCCAGGACTGGTACGGTCAAGAATAAATTAACTGAATTGACTGGCTGCTTACCAGGCGTCCAAAGGTATGTAGCCAGAGTACCAAAAAAAGGGCAAGAAGTAGTAGTCTAACATACTGATACGGCACCAGGCTCCTCTATTCTATTTTCTGGCTGCAGATTGATATCAAGAGGAGGCCCACTGAGGATGAGCTTACTTACATTGACAACCTTACTCAGTATCTCTTTATGGCTAGGAGTGCATTTTTAACCTACCAATGGTTGGGGAAGGTTGAAAGGATATACTGGAGGGTCAGCCTGCTGGCCAGGGTGGGTTCTGCTTGCTAGAGCTCACCCTTGGCAGGGTGGGAAAGGAACATGATGCTAGAAGACAACACTGCTGTGGCCTGGTCTGCCAGGTGTGACAATTTTTTTCTTTCTCTTTTTGTCCTTCTTTAGGACTAGAGAAATGCCATAGGGAATCCCTGCCAATTGGAACCCGATACTCTGCATAAGAGCTTGTTGATATTTTTTTTAGTAGTCTTTGATAAATTAGTGAATGCAGTCTTCATTCCAGTCAGAGAGACAGTGTGGTAGAGTGGTTAGAGTGCTGGATCAAAATGCAGGAGATGCAGGTTCTAGTCCCCACTGACCCACAAGATTCCCAGGGGGGTCTTGAGTCAATCACAGATGCTCTTAGCACGATCAACACAGGGTTGTTGTGAGCATAAAGGGGAGAGAAGGAGAGTTGCACCTTAAGGTTGTTGAGGGAATGGGAAGATGCAGTTCTAAGTAAGAAATGATAAATAATAGTTGTGTGGTGGACATGCCTAGTGAATCTATGTTTAGGAACTATATAAAGTTTGTAGAAAGATACTTACTTGTTTCACTGCCTGTACTACTTCTTGAATGTGTGCATTATTAATTTCTCTCTTCAGTCTTCAAAACAAACAAACAAAAACAGCAGTACCACATTAGGAATGAAACTTCATAGATTTGCCATCTTCAATGGAATGTTTTCCATTAGTCAAGATTAGCAAGTGGATCAGCATAGGCGGCCACTAGAGTTTGTGCTGGTTTGTTTATTGGCTCAACAAGAGTTTGGTGCTTCAAACCCTGCCCCCTCCAGCGGTCGCCCACTCAGAGGCAGTGTCCAGAGGAGGCAGGGCAGGGAAGCCAGGCCACTGCCTCCGAGTGGGCACCCATCAGAAGAGGAGGGACTCTGAAGTGCCAGATACCTGTTTGGCTAATAAGTGAACTGGCGTGAGCTGCCAGACAGGTGGTTTGTGCCCATCTCTAGTGGCCACTTAACATTTAAAATGGCAGGATTTCCATATAGTAAAGGAAAGGCACATCTGTGGCTTGCAAAAGGCATTGTGCTGAATCACAACACCCTTCAGATGAATGAAACAGTTCCTGCTCAAGAGGCAGCTAAATCATGGTGGCCTCTAAAGTACTTTCAGGCATCAGGGCACTTAACATAAGCTAGGGCTGGGAAATCGTGGCAGAGTGGCATCTCTCCTCAAAATTTTATGGGCACCTCATCCTGTTTCTGTTCCTTATCCACCTAATGGAACTGTGCAAGGATGGGAGGCCAGATTCCCCCCATGAACTGTGCAAGGATGGGAGGCCAGATTCCGCCGCCCCCCAAGCAGCCCTTTGCAGGGCAGATGACTTGGGCAGGTGCACTGCCTGAGGGCTTAATCTGTCCTAATTGAATATAAATTCTTCCTCCTTTGACTTCTGGCATCATTGGGCAAAGAGGTTCATAAGCTTTCATTTCATTTCCCACTAACAGGTCTGAACCCTAAAATTTGGTTAATATTTACTATGGTTTATATCCACAAGCCTTCTTCATAATCTGCAGTGTAAACCCAAATTGTTTCAAACAAAGCATAGTTAACATGACAGTTGATTGTTCTCCAGAACAGGACAGGCAAAAGCAGAAATAGTAGCATCCAAACACAACCTGTCCTATAGGACAAGAGAGAAGGAAGAACAACGAAAAGCCAAGTTTTGCTCATGCAGAACGATGGCTTAATGCAGGGATGGCAAAATACATGAACAAAGCTGTAAACAGCCACAGACTCGTTGGCTTTCCACAACCTGTGGGTAGAGTGGGCGGCATATAAATTAAATAAATAAATAAATAAATGCACCAACTCCCTGTTTCTAAAGTGGAAAAACTATTCTAATTTATAAAGTTGTCACAACGAGGAATGAAACAGAATTACAGTGGTGCCCCGCACAGCGAGGTTAATCCGTTCCGGATTAACCTTCGCTGTGGGAAACATCGCACTACGGAACAGAAAAAGGCATTGGAACGCATTAAACAGTGTTTAATGCGTTCCAAGGCCATAGAATACTCACCGTTGTGTGATGTTTCCCGGGGCCGGCAGCCATTTTCGCACCCTCCCCTCGCACAACGAGGGCGCCAAAATGGCTGCCATCAGCTGTCCGGCAGGTCCAAAATGGCCACCGGAACAGCCAAAAGGGGCCGGGGCGCAGCGCTTTCGTGCCCTTGGTAAGCC